TTTCCTAGGCCGACCCCTACCCCGCCTTCCTTCCACTACAGACTGATACACTCTTGAAGTTATTCTGTTTCGCTCCATTCCATGTTTCTATGTTATTAATTTTGTTTATTATGTCATATTAGTTGGATTGTGATAGATAAATAAGCCGTAGAGTTGATATTAGTGTCATATTCTCCAACAATAAACTTGCCATCCCTCCCTCACACAAACAAGTCTCCAATAAGAACATAAGAAAGGAGGAACACTGCAGTAGGCCTGCTTGCCCATACTAGGCCGGTCCTTCACAAATCCAACCCACTAACAGAACAAATGCTACCCAAGCAATAAGCTCAGGTGCAAGTCCGACTCAACTCCAACCCCTCTCACTCGTGTATTTATCCAACCTAAATTTGAAACTACCCAAGCCATAGCTTTTAGAACATAAGAAAGGAGGAACACTGCAATAAGCCTGTTGGCCCATACTAGGCCAGTCCTTCACAAATCCAACCCACTAACAGAACAAATGCTACCCAAGCAATAAGCTCAGGTGCAAGTCCAACTCAAATCCAACCTCTCACTCATGTATATATCCAACCTAAATTTGAAACTACCCAATGTTTTAGCTTGGATCACCCTACTAGGCAGACCGTTCCACTCATCAACTACCCCTATTACCAATGTTCATTTATACATTTTATTAGTGCTTTACATTTATTTAGCATTTTTTTCTGCATATAAATCTATATTTATGCTAGGGAAGTGACCCCTGAAGTGACCTAGAGTCCTTATGGAGGGGGATTCCCCTTCCAAACAATAACCTCTCTTGTAATAAAGTTGGTAGAATTACCGACTATGTAAAGTAAAAGGACACAAGTGCAACTAATGTGACATTTATTGTGGCAACGTTTCGCTCTCCAGGAGCTTTATCAAGCCAATTACTTTATCAAGTAATGGCCAATTACTTTATCAAGTAATGGCTTGATAAAGCTCCTGGAGAGCGAAACGTTGCCACAATAAATGTCACATTAGTTGCACTTGTGTCCTTTTACTTTACAATAACCTCTTACCTCTCCTCCTCCCTGTCTTCCATTCATCAACAACAGCCTTCAATAAAGGTAACTGTCATGTTGAATGTTCATTCTTTTGTGCATGTAAATCTATCTTTTAGGTAAAAAAAAAAAATTGTTGTTGATACTTCTGGGTGTCTGGAACGAATTAATTGGATTTACATTATTTCTTATGGGGAAAATTGATTCGAAAATCGTCTGTTTTGATAATAGTCCCACTTCTAGGAACGGATTAAGGACAATAATTGAGGGACCACTGTATTTTCACCAGGTGCCAGATCAACCAGGCTGTGATGGATATGTGGGGCAGCAGGCCTCCAGCACCAACAGCCTGGTTGACCAAGCAAGCACCAGATGAGCCTGGCCCATCAGTGTGGTAAGTGTGCACCACATAAAACAAATCCTGCAGCACACAGTGCATAATAAGATAAAAAAAACGAGTCCGTAATTTTCGATTAAAAAAGCGACTTTGCAGTGTTTTTTTGCATGTTTTTTATAGTTGCATTTGCAATTTCTTGGTCTCATTTGATAGAATGGAAGATATACTATAGAAATAGAAATGATTTTGATTGGTTTCAATACTGGAAATGGCTTGAAACTGAGCTCAAAGTAGCAGAAATGTTAAATTTTTGTCAATGTTCAAGAGTAAACAAATGACCTCGCATGTCTAATACACACCTGCTGGTGGGTCTAATATACATTCACAAATGTGGTGATATTATTTATACAATTATTACAGTATTGCATAACAGTAAATCTCCTATTTTTTGATTTGAATAAAAATTCATTATGTAAATAAAAAATCAAAATGGAATTTATTTGTAAAGGCTGAAAAGTAACTAATGAACAGAGGAAATGTTAGTTTAGTACCAGGAATGTCTGCATTGTTTATTCTGCACCCTATTTTGAGATTGGAATATTTTGAACTTTGCATTAAATTGGCCAAATTACCAATTTCCGATCACTTTATTTTGTTGTTGAAGCAGTTGACTTGGAGATTTCTTGTGCTCAATCGATAGAATAGAAGTAATACTAGTGAAATAGCTAAGAATTTGGTTCAATGGAATACTGTAATTGGCCTAAAATGGGAGTCAAAGTCGGCAAAATCACCGATGCGTAAAAATCGCCGACACATCAAAATTCACGAGAGCATAATTTCGTCAATTTTCCATCAAATTTTGTACTTTTTGTTTGATTACCTTCAGAAAAAGATTCTCTGCCATTTCAAAAGAAAAAATAACAAAATTATTTTTTGAAAATTCTTGGACCCTTTGCACACTTTGAAATTTGGCCTCTGGACCCTGAAAGGGTTAAAACCAGCAAGTTGAAGATTGAGACACTTATGCAACATATGGGAATCTTTATTGAAGAAATGTTTTCCCACCCAGTGGCTTCATCAGTCCAATACAAAGCAGAAAGGTGTAAGGAGAGGAGTAGTTTGAGGTAATCAGTACTTTCTACAGAATTGATGGACTGAACACATCGACTCCAGGCTGAGGGACTGATTACCTCAAACTCCTCCTCTCCTTACACCTTTCTGCTTTGTATTGGACTGATGAAGCCACTGTGTGGCAAAACATTTCTTCAATAAAGATTCCCATATGTTGCATAAGTGTCTCAGAGGAAATGTTATTTTAGTGCCAGGAATGCCTGCATTGTTTATTCTGGACTCTATTTTGAAATTGGAATATTTTGAACTGTGAAATTAGTCAAATTACTGATTTCTAATCACTTTGTTGAGTGGTTGAAATAATTGATTGGGTAGTTTCTTGTGCCCAGTCGATAAAATAGAAGTAATTCTAGCGAAATAGTAGCAAAGAATTTGGTCAACCAAAATAATATAATTGGCCTAAAATAGGAGTCAAAGTGGTCAAAATCGCCGATGTGCAAGTATCGCTGACACAGTAAAATTTGCAATATATATTGTAGTTTTGTCAGTTTTCCGTCAAATTTCATACTTTTTGTTTTATTACCTTCAGAAAAAAGATTCTCTACAATTTCATAAGAAAAAGCCATTTTTTTTTTTTTTTTTTTTGAAAATTCTTGAACCTTCAAAGGGTTAAACACACTGATCGTCTCCCACTGAGGCAGGATAACCTGAAAAAGAAACACTTTCACCATTATTTGCACTATCACTATCTTTGCAGAGGTGTGCAGATACGACAGTTTAGATGTCACTCCAAACAGCAAATATTCCAAACCCCTTCTTTAACCCTTTGACGTTTCTACCGTATATATACGTCTTGCAAGCCAATGTTTTCGACATATTAATACGCCAAAATTCAAATCAAGCGGGAGAAAGCTGGTAGGCCTTTTTGTGAGAGAATGGGTCTGTGTGCAGTATAAAAAATCCTGCAGTACGTAATGAGAAAAAAAAACTGACTGTGTTTTTGGATTAACCCTTTCAGGGTTGGTGCCGTACTAGGATGGCTGGTACACCAGGGTTGGTGCCATACTTGTACAGCTTGCACACCAGGGTTGGTGCCGTACTAGTACGGCTTGCACACCAGGGTTGGTGCCGTACTAGTACGCATAAATTCTAGCGCCTTCAAGTCTAACGAGAGAAAGTTGGTAGGCCTTCATATGAAAGAATGAGTCTGTGGTCAGTGTGCACAGTATAAAAAAAAATCCTGCAGCACGCAGTGCATAATGAGAAAAACAAAACTCCGACCGTGTTTTTGCTTTAAAACAGTGACTTTGCAGTGTATTTTCGTATGGTATTTGTGGTTGTACAGTGGACCCCCGGTTAACGGTATTTTTTCACTCCAGAAGTATGTTCAGGTGCCAGTACTGACCGAATTTGTTCCCATAAGAAATATTGTGAAGTAGATTAGTCCATTTCAGACCCCCAAACATACACGTACAAACGCACTTACATAAATACACTTACATAATTGGTCACATTCGGAGGTAATCATTATGCGGGGGTCCACTGTATTCTAGTTTTCCTGGTCTCATTTTATAGAATGGAAGACACATTACAGAAATTGAGATGATTTTGATTGGTTTCATATTGAAAAGTACCTTGAAATTGAGCTCAAAGTAGCAGAAATGTTCGATTTTTGCCAAAGTTCAAAAGTAAACAAATCATGCTGTGCGTCCAATACACGTCAACTGGTGAGTCTTATATTCTTTCACAAGTGTGCTGATATTATTTATACCATTTCTGCACTAATGCAGTAGTCAGCATAACAGTAAATCTTCTATTTTTTTGTGAGAATAAAAATTCAAAGTGGAAAGCCAAAGAAATGTAACAGAGGCCTGGGGACGTGACTAATGAACAGAAAAGATGTTATTTTAGTGCCAGGAATATCTGTCTTGTTTATTCTGGACCCTGTTTGGAAATTGGCATCTTTTGAAATTTGTCTGAAATTGGCAAAATTGCCAATTTCTGACCACTTTATTGGATAGTTGAAATCGGTAAATGGGTGGTTTCTTGTACTCATTCGATAGAAAAAATGGAGTTCTAGCGAAATTGTTATGATTTTTATCTGGTACATTCTATGCTGACCAGGCATCTCAGGGCAATCATGCCAAATTTGGAGGCAATAAAATTAAAACGCATATATACGTTTAGGGGTTAAGGCCTAGCTCTATTGCTCACTTAACATTTGATAGTGTAAACATGATTTCAGACTTTTATACGCATTTGAAAGTGAAAATAGGCTGTGTTTCACTTTACAGTGTTTGTCACTTCACAGCAGTAGCCTGGAATCTAACCTGCTGAATAAGTGGGGGCCCTCCTGTATATATCATTGTAAAAACAGATTTATACACCCTCCAAGTTATCCTATTTTGCTCCAACCTCTCTAAATGACCAAACCAACATTTTGTATAATTTCCAGACTTTTCTAACTTTTCCAATATTTTTTTAGGTTTGTATATTAGATCTAAGATGATTGCAAGTCTAAAATATCCTTAAATATTTACACAAATTTTCTTTTTCTCCTGCAGGAATTGTACAGTGATGTGACATTGGCTTGTGATGGTAAATTTTTTCCTGTGCACAAGATGGTGCTCTCAGTTTGTAGTGAATACTTTGAGGAAATGTTTAAGCAAACAGATTGCAAGCACCCGATTATTGTACTTAAAGATATTCTACATGATGATCTCGAGGCCCTCCTTAACTACATGTATGCGGGAGAAGCAAACGTTGTGCAGAGTGATTTGGCCAGATTAATAAAGTCTGCTGAGTGCTTAAGAATTAAGGGTTTGGCCGTCCCTGATGAAGCTCCACATTTAAGTGACAGTAAAAGACCCCATACAGATAGCCACAGAGATGAAAGTCATCACTCAAAGCGGAGAAAACACGATGACCATTCAATATCCTCTTCAAAATCCAACCAGAGTTACACCAGAGAAAGACAATACTCTGTTGAGAGAGAGTCCAATAAAGACACAAATGATACTGACATTGTTGCTAGTGGTCACCAAATAGGTAGTCATCGGGGAAATAGTGGTCCAAATGCAGTCACCCAACACCATCATTCCTCTAGTCCAAACTCAAACATGGATATGGACATGGGAAGATGCAGCAGAGAAGAAAATAGTGGTACACAAGACCTTGCTGAGGTGAGGGATTTACTTCTATGCTTCATTATTTATATATTTTACACTGTTTTATTTGATCTTTGTTGAGGCCTACTATTCTGTACAGTGTATTACCGTATATTGCTGTTTTATCATTGCATGGTAGTTACTGCTAAGATGGACTGACTTATTTTAGATAATACAATCATCAACACTTATTACCAAGCTTTCTGAAAGTGTGTAGACATGAGCATCTTTCACCCACCTGAATAAGACAAAAGTACATTCAATGTTATGTCCAACTTTCAAAACTCAGATCTGGCAAACTAGTTTTACTGATGTTATATGAGAGGGCACATGAGCCATTAATGAAACCTTTTTTTTTTTTATGGGTATTTTTCACTTTCCAAGAACTTCATCAGCCCAAAGCACCTGGAGACTGAAATATAGCTGTAATTAATGTATCATTAGTTGCTCATATGTCCTTGATGTACTATGTTGTGTATAGTTCTACTAATACTTTTACTGGTTTCACTGAATCCCTTCATAAATGTTACCATTCACTCTGGAAGAACACACCCACATGCTGATTGAACACACTTGTGTGTGACTGCAACATGTTCAGCACCCTTTCTGCCTCTGCACTTCTTTCTTACTTTTCTTCGGATTCTTCCTTTGATATCCACTGTTCCTCCTTTTATCCACCCTAGATTTGTACACCAAGTTAATTACCCTGTTATGCTCCATTCTCTCTAATAAACCATCTGAATACCCTTTGTTTAACTCTGCTTGTTCCTTTCATATCATATGTTGTTCTTTGCAAAATATGCATCACCACATTATTTTGAAACATTTTCACTATTTCCATGGCCGTTCTTGCTGCAACATTCAAAGATATGCTTAGCCATACAAAGTGTTGGTACCAGTATATATGCTCTGATACACTCACTATTTTTTACATTTATTAACAAATTTATTTCTTGTGTGTTCAAAAATAACTGTTTCTATTGTAAATGCATGTGAGTGGAAAAAAAAAAATGGTGGTGGGTAGGAGTTTGTTGAGTAACTGTACAGAGTAGAGGAGTGTTGCTGTCATTTCTGTAGTTCCCTCTCTCCAAGGGTGCACAATCACTTTTTTCCTTAAGAGTCAATACGTAAGGTACATCTTGCTACTTTATACTTACGCTTAGTTATCACTACACATACGTGTACACGTTTATGTATGCACTCTCATCTGAGTTTTCTTTGATTTTATCTTAATAGTTCTTGTTCTTATTGCTTTTCCTTTCATATCCATGGGGAAGTGGAATAAGAATCTTTCCTCCATAAGCCATGCATGTTTCCAGTTAACTAAAATGCCGGGAACAATTGGCTAATAACCTCTTTTCCCATATAGCCTACTAAAAAGAAAAAGAAGAAAACCATTAAAGTGGGATGTTTGAATGTGCATGGATGTGGTGCGAATGATAAGAAGCTGGATGTCCTGGCTTTAAGTGAAACCAAAGCTGAAAGGGGTAGGAGAGTTTCAGTGGGGAGAAATAAATGGGATTAGGTCAGGGGTTTCAAATAGTTAGATCTAAAGGAGGAGTAGCGATAATGTTGAAGGGGAAGTTATGGCAGGAAAAGAGGGAATATAAATGTATTAATTCAAGGATTATGTGGAGTAAAATAGGGGTTGGATGTGAAAAGTGGGTTATAGTAAGTGTTTATGCAATGAGAATGAGAGAGAGAGAGAATGAGAATATGACAGAGAGAGAATGAGAATGGGGAGTTTAGAACCAAGTGAGAGAGTACTTATGGTTGGGGATCTCAATGCTAAAGTGGGTAAAAATGTTGTGGAGGGAGTAGTAGATGAATTTGGGGTGCCAGGGGTAAAGGAAAATGGGGTGCCTTTAATTGAGCTATGTGTAGAAAGAGGTTTGGTAATAAGTAATACATATTTTATGAAAAAGAGGATAAATAAGTATACAAGGTATGATATAGCACGTAATGAAAGTAGTTTTTAGATTATGTATTGGTGGATAAAAGGTTGAAGGGTAGGCTTCAGGATATACATGTTTATAGAGGGGCAATGGATATATTGGATCATTATTTAGTTGTAGATACAGTTGGAGTAAGAAGTAGATGGGACGAAAGGAAAATGGCAACAGCAACTAAGAGAGAGGTGAAAGTGTATAAACTAAAGGAGGAGGAAGTTAGGGTGAGATATAAACAGCTATTGGCAGAAAGGTGGGCTGGTACAAGTATAAGTAGTTGGGGGGGGGGGGGTTGAAGAGGGTTGGGATAGTTTTAAGAATGCAGTACAGTGGACGCTCGACCAGTGATATTAATCCGTTCCCGAGAGCTCATCGTTAATCGAAATTATCGTTAGTAGAGTTAATTTTCCCCATAAGAAATAATGGAAATCAAATTAATCCGTGCAAGACACCCAAAAGTATTGAAAAATATTTTTTTACCACATGAAATATTAATTTTAATAGTACATATATAAACTGAAGAAGACGTGTACAATTACCTGACACTTACCTTTATTGAAGATCTGGTGATGATTGATGGTATGGGAGGAGGGGAGAGTGTGGATGGTGTTAGTGTTTAGAAGGGGAATCCCCTTCCATTAGGACTTGAGGTGTCAAGTCCTTTTCCGGGGTTACTTCCCTTCTTCTTTTAATGCCACTAGGACCAGCTTGAGAGTCACTGGACCTCTGTTGCACAACATATCTGTCCATAGAGGCCTGTACCTCCCGTTCCTTTATGACATTCCTAAAGTGTTTCACAACATTGTCAGTGTCACAATTAAACACTTGTTCAGGTTTCAATTCTTCACTGCCTATGTACTACTTGAATTCCTGCACATATTTTTCAGCTGCTTTTTGGTCCGAAATGGCAGCCTCACCATGCCTTAACACACTATGTATGCCACTGCGATTCTTAAATCTCTCAAACCAACCTTTGCTGGCCTTAAATTAACTCGCATCACCACTAGTTGCAGGCATTTTTCTAATTAAATCGTCGTGCAACTTCCTAGCCTTTTCACATATGATTGCTTGAGAGATGCTATCTCCTGCTATCTGTTTTTCGTGTATCCACACCAATAACAGTCTCTCAACATCATCTATCACTTGCGATCTCAGTTTCGAAAACATGGTTGCATCTTTGGCAAGAACAGCTTCCTTGATTGCCGTTTTCTTGGCCACAATAGTAGCGATGGTTGATTGGGGTTTTGTGTACAACCTGGCCAGCTCGGAGACACACACTTCACTTTCATACTTAGCAATGATCTTTTTCTTCATATCCATAGTAATTCTCACCCTTTTTCTTGTAGGGTTGACACTAGAAGCTTTCTTGGGGCCCATGGTGACTTATTTTGCAGGTGCAATGACTAAAATGGCTGTGATAATATGAAATGTTCCGATTGTATATTTGGATGGGACCGCAGTGGCTGGCTGGCTGGCTTGTAAACACTGGCCACAAGTGGACGCGTCTCAGACGGAATGAATCGTGTTTGTCGAGTTTTTTAGCGCTAGCCTAGGCAAAATTTTTGCGTTAAAATGTATCGCTAGTCGGATTTAACGTTAGACGATGCCATCGTTGGTCGAGGGTCCACTTTATTAGAATGTGGGGCAGAAGTTTGTGGCTATAGGAGGGTGGGTGCAGGAGGAAAGAGGAGTTATTGGTAGAATGATGAAGCACAGGGTTATGATAAAAGAGAAAAAGGTAGCTTATGAGAGGTTTTTACAAAGCAGTGTTAAAAGAAGCAGAGTATAAGGAGAGTAAAAGAAAGGCAAAGAGAGTGGTGAGAGAGTGCAAAAGGAGAGCAGGTGATAGTGGGAGAGGCACTGTCAAGAAATTTTGCTGAAAATTAGAAACATTTTGGAGTGAGATAAACAAGCTAAGAAAGCCTAGGGAATGAATGGATTTGTCAGTTAAAAACAGAGTAGGGGAGTTAGTAGATGGGGAGATGGAGGTATTGGGTAGATAGCAGGAATATTTTGAGGAACTTTTAAATGTTGATGAAGAAAGGGAGGCGGTAGTTTCATGCACTGGCCAGGGAGATATGACATCTTTTGGAGTGAAGAAAAGCAGGATATGAGTGTGGGGAGGTGCGTGAGGCATTACATAGAATGAAAGGGGGTAAGGCAGCTGGAACTGACGAGATCATGACAGAAATGTTGAAAGCAGGGGGGGGGATAGTGTTGGAGTGGTTGATATTTTTGTTTAATAAATGTATGAAAGAGAGGAAGTTACCTAGGGATTGGCAGTGTGTGTATACGTAGTTCCTTAACACAAAGGAAAGGAGGACAAAAGAGATTGTAAAAATTATAGGGGAATAAGTTTACTGAGTATACCAGGTAAAGTGTACGGTAGGGTTATTATTATAAGAATTACGAGGTAAGACAGAGAGTAGGATTGCAGATGAACAAGGAGGCTTTAGAGTGGGTAGGGGATGTGTAGATCAAGTGTTTACATTGAAGCATATATGTGAAGTTTTCATTGCATTTATGGATTTAGAAAAGGCATATGATAGAGTGGATAGGGAAGCAATGTGGCAGATGTTGCAAGTGTATGGAATAGGTAGTAAGTTGCTAATTGCTGTAAAGAGATTTTATGAGGATAGTGAGGCTCAGCTTAGGGTCTGTAGGAAAGAGGGAGATTACTTCCCAGTAAAACTGTCTTAGACAGGGATGTGTAATGTCACCATGGTTGTTTAGTATATTTATAGATGGGGTTGTAAAAGAAGTAAATGCTAGGGTGTTCGGGAGAGGGGTGGGATTAAATTATGGGGAATCAAATACAGAATGGGAGTTGACACAGTTATTTTTTGCTGATGATACTGTGCTTATAGGAGATTCTAAAGAAAAGTTGCAAAGGTTAGTGGATGAGTTTGGGAGGGCGTGTAAAGGTTGAAAGTGAACATAGGTAAGAGTAAGGTGATAAGGGTATCAAACAATTTAGATAAAGAAAAATTGGATATCACATTTTAGAGAGAGGGAGTATAGAAGAAGTGAATGTTTTCAGATATTTGAGAGATGACTTGTCAGCAG